GGGCTAAGGGCTGACTAGCAAATAGCAGAATCAGAATGTATGACTTTTCTGATCTTGATTTAGTGTTTTTCATAACGGGAGTGTGGGAGGATAATTTTGTACAAGCATGCCTTTGTTTACGGTTCAAACAGTCTGGTGGGGTGGGGACATGGCCTTGTTGGTTCTGGGGGCAAGGTCAAGAGCAAGTAGTCAAGAAAATGGAAGGTAAACACGTGGAACTATGGGCACAACCAGAGGAAAGATAGCAGAAATCACTTCACCTTGGGGAACTAAGTCTCATCTCCCTGGTTGGCTTAATGGCAAACTCACATTTCATTTGTCACTGATTTGCAGAAAAGTGGAGCTGGATTTAAAAGGTGTTGGAGATTCCCATGCAGTAGAAGGAAAACAGACTTCCCATGAAGAGATGATTCAAAGGGCAAGATACAGGATTTGAGACTGCTGTAGCAAATTCAGACTTCAGTAAATAGCCTAGAGAAAGCCCTCTTGTTTGCTGGAAGCAATTTACTTCTTTAAGGATGGAAGAGTTCTTTAAATAGAGTTTTGATGTGGGGTTCAAGGCCTGAAGGTTCAAATGTGTTGGAAAGATTACTCCAGGAAGGTTCTACTGGGAGGGTTTGAGCTTGCAGGTCACTATTTTAGACCAAAAATTGGGTTAGTCTCTCAAGAATCAATGGGTTAAAAAGGAGTTGCTATACTAGGGATTTGAAATTCAGGGTCTTTATCATTTCCAAAGAATAGAATACTTGCAAACAGCTTCTTCCAGTGAATGTCTTTACCTCACAGTGGGGATGGGTGTTACTCTAACTTCCTGAATGAATGGGGTCACCCTAACCAGAACCCCCATACTTTCACAGACCTGAGGGACATTCTCCCGAAGAACAAGGAACGCTGGGGTCAGGAGTCAGTGAATGGTGGGGAGAAGACTTGAAATTTTTTAGCGCTGTGTCAATAGGAAGTTCAGACTCTTAGATCCTTCCATCCCTCTCTTGCGTCATTTCAATTCCATATGGGAAACCAGAGGTTTCCTTCAGGCTCTTAGCCTCAGCCACCACGGGAGGATATAAAAATCCATCTGGGAGGAAAACTGATAAGAAAAGAACAAAATTAGAAAGCTATTGCCCCTTTTGTTGCTTCTCTACAGCTCTCCTCACTCCTCCACCCCTCTCCCTTCTCTTTTCACAAAAAGTTCTCCAGTAGTGGGTCCCAAGAATGCCTGATCTGCGCCCAGCCTGGCGACCTGCCACATTCCGGTGGACGTTTGCATGTGTAAGGCAAGATTTCCTGCAGTGCTCCAGGCACCTGGAAAGCGCGCACGGGCTGGTCCTGCTTTCCCCCTAGGCCTAGCTTCATCCCTCCAGATCTCAGACAACAGCGCCCCTGGATGGTAGGCTTCGTGGAGAGTTGGGCAAATTTCCACTCAGGAGAGAAGGGACATTTCACCGGGGTAACTGCTCAAATTTTGTTCTTTCCGTATTACGGTCCACTCTATCAAAAGCAGAAGGAGCCCGTGTCCACGTCGGAGGAGGGAGTGGGTGAGGGGGTACAGTCCCGGGCTAGTAGTTTGGGGATACCAGAGACTCCTCGGCTTCTGGCTTCTGCAGTTGCACTTCCGTTAGCCCTCTCTGCTTCCAGCGAGCAGGAGCCCAGGATCAGAACTTTCTGGAATGGGAGACTTGGGTAAACACCAAACTTGCATAAACTGGAGACATTCATAAGCAACGAAAAGAAAAAAAAAAAGACATCGCGTGTTGTTGTCGGGGTGATGACCCTGGCAGTGGTGGGGCTGCGGGGCTCAGCAGGTCTTTAGACCACATTGCTTAGTAGTGGGGACTGCAAAGCCTCGCCTTGCTTCTGGAACTCCATGAGGAAGACTCTCCGATTCTCTACTTCAGCTGTTGCTCCAGTGAGTGGGGTCAGCCCTGGAGGTCTGTGGTTTTCGAGAGTGCTGAGAGTGTGAGTGACAAGGCTTGAGGTGCAGTTCAGAGGCTGTGGGTCTGTGGAGCCAGTATTCATCCTGTTTCCCGCGAATTACTCAGTGTTTGTGGTTTTTTCCCCCTTTAATAGGCTGTGAAGTCAACAAACTCCCCACATGGTGGCTCCCTTTACTAAAGTTGAGTAGCGAGGAGTCTTGAACATTTTTTTCAGAGATTTCTCCAGATTGAACTTATTCTGGCATTCCAGTAAGAGGAAAGAGTAAGGATTTTAATGGGGTTCACCTTTGATGTGGAGCAAGACAGGAGAGCCACAGTTGGTTGCACTTTGGGCACTTTAGGAAGAAGGCATCTCGCTCTGATGATCTGGTTGTGTTAACCTCCGGCTCTTTCTGTGTGAGCTTGCTGCAGGGGCAGAGCCAAACGGGGTATACAGGCATGTCAGTCCTCCAAAATAAATCAGTGCACATATGCAATGAAGACAGAGATGACTTTTCATGTCATGTCATGTGGCTGGAAGCTTTATCGAAGGCTAGTGATCTGGATCATGTCCAGGAATATACTAAGAGGAAGCAGACAAGGTCAGGAATAAGCAAAACTTTGCTTGGAGGAAGCACTAACGCTCACATAAGAATGGGAACGGCCTTGAGAATGAGAAACATCATGTCTTGGAAAAAGCATGCAAGAACTAATAAAGCTTGTTTAAGTGTTAGTGCCACATCAGTCACAGGAAACACTCCCACTAAATTGTCATTTCCTCTACTTTTGTGTAAGATCCAATAATTAAAATCTGCACTAATGGTTATTGATGGCTCTATTTTCCTTTTAAAAGAAGTAGACCAGAGTTCTCTCTTACTGGACTAGAAACTTCTGAATCTTCTTAAATTACTCAGGGACTTGAAAGCCTCAGGATGGATGTGGTCTTCCCACCTTAGTTTCAGTTAAAAAATTACAACTGTTCCCAACGGAGGGATTCCCATTACAAACCCCGAGCCAGTGATCGTGTACTGGAAATCCTTGTCTTTTATTTTCCCAAATGGAACTCAAGTTTGTAAAAAAAAAAAAAAAAAGTGTAAAAAAAATACGTTTCTCACCCTCAACTTCTTAAAATTTCAGCTCATGTGGAAAAAGACAATTTCACAATTTCAATTTTTAAAACCAGTAAGAGGCACAGGAGGTGTGAACCTCTCCAAATAGGCAAGCCAGACATTCAAACACCAGTGCCAGGGAGAAACCCTTCACTTTAATGTGGGCAGGGAGGGAGATGGTCTTGGGACAGGGGTATTCATGGATGCTGCAATGCCTCTGAACAGCATGGTGATTTAGAGAATGAATTGTTACATTAATAGCACCACTGTCAAATCTTCAGATTGAGAAGCTCTGGTGGCAATTTCGACGTTCGCAGCATCTGCGCCTAAACAATTCAGCACCTGGAGTCTGGACAGCTCCACAGGCCAGGAGGGGCTCAGCCTTCGGAAGCATCAATCTACTCCTAGCCCCTGTCAACAGCCACTCATTAGATATTTATTGAAAATCCTTCAACGTTTTCCTTTAAAAAAAACGAAATGACTTCCACATTTAATTGCCTATCTGAAAGAATATATGCAAAAATTAAATTAATTAATAGAGCTTGACGGTGCTTAATTCCAGATAGGACTTGAGGAAAAAGTAAAGAGTAAGCAAGCCGTAGGGACAGAATTAAAAATGTAACTTTTATTTTTTGCCATTCTCCAGATTCTACGAATTCTTTTACCTGTCCCTGAGAAATGGGTGAAATTACAAAAGCCATCCAAATAATTGGACTTCTTAAAAAAAATTGGGTTGTATGAATGAAAGGTGTTTATGAGAAGTCGATGACTCCGGATCTTATCATCCAAGAGGACAGCACAGAATAGTTAATATGTTCCTTGAGGGACTCGAATGCTGACGTCTTTTTCTGATACCGATCATTACGTGACTGAAAAAAAAAAAAGGAAGTCAGTTCATGAATAAAAACCGGAGCGCAACAGTGCAACAAAATATTCTGTACTTAAAGGCAAGGCAGGCAGATGTTGACAAAGAGGGCTCTCCTAAAACCATGTTCGGATAGATTCTTCGCTAACTGCACGTATAAATACGAGCAGAAGGTCGGCCACCCCAGTTACCACCGGCAGCAGCCGCAGCAGCCGCAGCTTCCGACGCAGCCAGAGGGACCAAGGAGCGGAGAAGGCGCCGCTGGCTGGAGCGGCTGCGCGCCCGGGCGGCTCCCCAAGAACCTCGCCACCCTGCAGGCCCGCTCCCCTTCGCTTCCTTCCCTTCATCTTTTACTCTCCCCCTCCTTATTTCATTAATCACTGGCTTATTTCTCCCAGTGGACCGAAGGCCACTTTGCCCCCCTTCCCCGCTTTCTCCATCCCTATAAGCTCCTCGCCTCCGTTTTTTCTTTTTTTTCTCTTTCTTCGACATCTCTCTTCTCGCTCCCTTTTCCCGGAGTCCCACTGCCTCCTGGGTTCCGCGCCGCCACGGCAAACTTTTGAACAGAATACGAGCTTTCAGCAAACAAGTCCTCCAGCTCCTCCTGCCGCTCCTGCTGGTTCCTGCGGCACCTGAGACGCCGTGCCAGACGGTGATGCCTCTCGGGTTGTGACTCCGGGGGCAGAAACTTGAAGGAGTCCTTTGCCCGCCGGTCGTCCCACTTGGCAGCAAACCCTCTCCTAGCAGCGGTAAGAGTTGAATGGTAGAAGGGTGTGGGGGAAGAATCTTAACCAAACCAAGTGACTCTCTTGGCGGCTAATTTTCTCCCCCCTCCCCCGTCCCTAGTGGACATTGGCATCAGGGGACGTCTTTAGCTTTCTTTCCTAACAGGTTTAGATAGTTATTGGGCACTGGGAATCTGCGCTTGTTTCTAACTGTAGCAAGCAAGAAGTGGCAGGACGCCCGCCGGCGGTCGCCGAGTGGTACCAACAACCGAGGAGCGGGAGCCTCGCTCCCCCCCATCCCCCAGTTCCGGGAGTTTCTAGGGTTTGGAGGGTGGCAGGCCAGGAGCGTTCTCAACGACTGTGTGCCCTCTTTTTCATCCTGCGCAGAATGACCATGTGTAGCGGAGCGAAGCTGGCCCTGCTGGTCTATGGGATCATAATGCACAGCAGCGTCTACTGCTCACCTGCCGCCGCCGGACTCCGGTTCTCCGGGATCAGGTAGGTGCTAGCCGCAAGGGATCAGGCGGGCCTGGGGCTTCCTTTCCCGGGACACTTCTTCCTGCTCGCTCTCTAGCAGTTGCCATCTCTCAGCTCTCCGCGGCTCCCCCGCCTCCCCGCCCCCCGAGCCTCGGCAAGATTTGGCTATCCGAAGGGTAGGGATGTCCCCGGCCAGAGGATCCAGCAAAGCCAGAGAATCCCGATGGGCACCGCGACAGCTCGGGCCCCCTCTCCACTCTGCCGAGGCAGTAGTAGAGCCCCGGTAAAGATCAAGAGCTTCGGGCCGCAGTTGAAGCCACCCCTCCTCCAACCTGCCTTCCGGGAAGGGGTCGGCCGCTTGGCTTCCCTCCCCAATTCTTCGGGTGAGTTTGGAGAACTTTGGGTTCCCAGAACCCGGCCCAGGGTGGAGCGTTAAAGCTCCTACGGACTTGGCTTTGTTAGCGCTTGCTCTGAACTGTCTGGGCGGGGTCTCCCTCTCCTCCACCTTTTATCTCCAGCTCATTAAAATTCTTTTTCCCGAGGAGAGGGATTTTTTTTTTTTTCCTAAGTGGCCTTGGTTCCAACTGCATTCTGAGTCTCCTACTAACTTGGGGAGGGGGACTGTTGGCCTGGTACGGTCGAGCAAAAGCGACTTGCGAGAAAAAAAAACGGAGACTGGGAGGGAGGGGGAGCAATGGATGCTAGGCAGGAGAAAGAGAAAGCGGGCAGATGCGCTGGCAAAGCAGGGAGGACCACCCGGTCCAACCCAGGTTGGAGTACTGGCCTTTCCCTTAACCCCTGGTTTCCAGCGGTCGGCGCTGCCCCAGCTTCTTACCCCAGCCCGAGTCTCAGCCTAGTGCGCGGGACAAAGGAAGCGCGCTGGGCAGCGCAGCGTCCGCACCCCGTGGCGCCTGGAGCAGCCAGAAGCGCGCGCGCTCTGCCGGTGAAGATGTCTCTGCTAGCCGCGCCCAAGAGCGTTCGCCACAACCTCAGCTTTGGCCAGAGATAGTTCTATCTTTGGTATTCAGATGTCAGTATCTGGGAATGGGGAGTGGGGCTGAAGTGGCTGGGAAGACGCGGGGTTCGGGGTACCCCAGCCAGGGCTGAGGCGCGTCACTGAGGGAGAGCTGGGAGCGGGGTGTGGGGAGCCATGCGCTTTCCCAGCCGTGGCCTCTCCAGGGATGGAGGAATAGCCAGAGTAATAACGAGTCCAACTTCGAGGAGAGGATTTCGCGTCTCTTGTCGCATTCCGAGCCTCTCTAGCATCCCAAAGCGCGGGAGCTTTGGGTTTCAACCCACCTCTTCCCGTTCCGTGCCAGGATGGAGGCGGCCGGCCGAGCCAGGCAGAGAGATCGCCAGTCCCTTGTTGGTTATCGATCCCTTGATGACCTGAGTTCTAGGGTTGAGATCGGTTCTCTCCTTCTCGCCTGGGCGGACAGATTAGTGAGAACGACTTAGTGGATTCGCCCGCCTTTATTTTACTCCCAGCTGCTATCCAAGTGCTGTGTGTTTGGCATTTTCCCTCGGGCAAGAAGAACCGGAGGGCACAGACATACCACAGAACCAGCCTCCGCCAAACCGGCTAAGTTTAGGGACATCTATTATTCATGTTCCTGCCAGATCCTCTCTGGCCCAGAATAGAAGCTGGAGGTTCTCCGTGACCTACATCTGCGCGGGAAGTGCTCCACTAGGGCCCTGAGGCTTGGGTGGGGGTGGCGGGTGGAGTTTGATAGCCGCCGCGCACCCGCGCACCCGACCTTCTCGATTCTCACCCTCTGGGTTCTGTTCCGGGTCTCCCACTTCGGGTCCTGGAGTTGGTCAGCACCTGCTCTCCTCAGGGCCTTTCTCGATCCCATGGGTGGCTACTTGAAAAAGGCTCGGGCGCCACGCGGGGAGGGGGGCGGTCCTTCTCGGCGGTAGGTGTACTCGGTGTAGGCGCCTGTGTTTCCCAGAGTTAGTTTAGCCCTCGCCTTGCAGGAAGACCCTTTCCCCGCGAGAGGAGGTGTGGGCGAAGCAGCTCGAGGAGCCTGAATTACTCATGGGTGGGATGTCCTCTTCCTTACCTCTGCCCCCATCCCAGTCCTGGAAGAGTGGAAAACTGTTATGTGCGGGACCTTAACAAAAAGGAGACAGTGTGAACCTCTTTCCCTGGGTCTTCGCAGATCGGCAGGGCTTTGTAATGATCGCTCTTTCCGTCTGGGGCTACCCTGCAGGCCGGAGGACGAGGCGTACGACGAGGACGGAATACCCCTACAAGATTTCTACGACTCGGACCCGCCTGGCGCAGGCAGCCCCGCCTCTACACTGCACGACGCTTACGCGCTCTACTACCCAGAGGAGAGCAGGTGCTGAATGCGGCCTCCCCCGCCTGCCCCAGGGCTGGGTGCCCAGGACCGAGGGAGCGGGAGGGGCAGGGCAGTGGCCCGTCGAATAGGTTCTTTTAAATCAAGGTCTTCAAACCTCTCCTCTTTCAGGCTGGAGAATTTACGAGCGGGTGGGTGCTGATAAATCCGAGGGCCGTGTGGGGGCTGATAAACTGCGGCTCAGTGAGTGCGCGCCTGGCCATGTGGGGTGCGCACTTAGGTGGTCCAGACTCAAACTCCGGATCCTAGCTCATGGATCCGGACTAGAGACGCAAGAGACCTGTTTGTAAATGCTGTACCTCTAGCGTTTTTTTTTTTTTTTTTGGTCTGCCTCCTTGAAAGCCCCTGGGCGCACGCGGGCAGGGTGGCTTCGGGGGAGCTGTAGGAGGGACGGTCTGTGACCTCGGGCATCTTTTTACCTCCCCGTTAGAGATGTCGCCCTCGGGATCCTTAACAAGGCCTACCGCAAAGTCCTGGACCAGCTGTCCGCCAGAAAGTATCTGCAGGCTCTCGTGGCCAAGGGCGTGGGGTAAGAGTTTGTCAAAAGAGTTAACTGACGCGTGATGGCGCGCGCGCACCGGGCGGGTGCCTAAAGCAAGAGCGCGCGTGCGGGGCCGGTGGCGTCTGCTTTTGCTTTGCAGAGTGCAAGAGAGGAGGAGGGTGGGTTTGCGCCCTGGGGTCGCTGTGGAGGGAGAGCCTGTCAGCCTGTGGCTGTGGGCGGAGTTTTTGCAAAGGTTCCCTAGTTTGGATGGGGGAGAGGGGAGAAGGGAGAGAGTAGGCGCAACTCGGAAGTTAGAGCCATTTTTAATGAAAATGAAGAAGCCAAACATCCGCTTCCCTCCAGCCATTCAAAACCTTCTAGCTTCGTGGGAGGATTTGCTGTAATTTCCTCTAAGCGTGCCCTCCCCCTCCCCGCACTGCATTTACTATAAATTCAAATCGAAATAAACAAATCATCAAAATTGGACGCTTAAGGAAACAAACAGTTTTCCCTCACGCGAGAAAAAAAACCCGGAGCACAGGGCTTGCTCCCAGTGCCTCTCAGCAGAAGGCAACATTTTAATAAAACCCGTGGGAAAACAGATTACAATTTCGCAATGAATAATTCATACAGTGAAAAATATTGCCTTCAGCCTGTCGACTTGTATTATTATCACGTTTTTCAGTTTAGCGTGCGGAAGGAGAGGAGGGCTTGTGGATCACTAGGAATTGCAGGATCGATACAAACTGCACGGCAAGAGCCAAGCTGGCACGTTGTGCGCTTTGGTGATTTTCTTTGTACTTCGGGGGTGAGACAAGTCGGGGGACAATTTAGCGCCCGGGCGTGGTTGGCCAGATCTCGAAGGGAATGGGAGAAAGGTTAGACGGCTACCCAGACCGCATCCCGGACACCTGCTATGGAACTCAGAGCCAAGAAATCCTGAGTCGGGGGAGGAAAACAGAGATTTCCTTGTCAGCCCTCCCTGGAGCGGCTGACTGGCAGAGGAAGGAGGCGCGTGGGTAGGGCAAGCGTGGCGCCACGCCTTCCCCGAAGACCCTCGGGGGGGCTTCGAAGCTGGCAGAGTGGGGTCCGCCCGCTCCTCACGCCCAAGGACTTTGTGTCTCTCGCCCCACCACCCTTTCCGCAACCCCCCCACCCCGTTCTTTCCCCTTTTTCTTTCTTTGCAGTGAAAACCTGGGCGGCGGCGGAGAGGACGACTTGGGACTGTTCTCCAAGCGCCACTCGGACGGAATCTTCACCGACAGCTACAGCCGCTACCGGAAACAAATGGCTGTTAAGAAATACTTGGCGGCCGTCCTAGGGAAAAGGTATAAACAGAGAGTTAAAAACAAAGGGCGCAGAATAGCGTATTTGTAGCGTTGAGTTACCAACTACTCTGTATATACACCCTGCCCCAAATGAAAAGTCGTTTTCCAAACTGACTCAACAGTCGTCGCTCATATGTTCTATCCAAACATGTATTTATGTATGAAGTAAAGCCATTAAATGAATATTTTGATAATAATATTGTTTTTCTTTTTACAAAGCACTAGAGAATGCACAGATATACTTTGTGGACCAATTATTGATATATATTATAAATATATATAAAGATTATATATAGTAGCGAGCAATTCATACGAAGTGTGCACAAGGATTGAAAATTCGCCTGAGCTGTTTATGTTTTTATATAAAATAAATAGAAAAATAGACAATCATTGTTTTGAATATTACTCCTATTTTTGTAAACTCGAATTAAAAAGGATAGTATTTTTATCCAACGACAGGCCTGAAGATGTTAATATTGACCATTTGCTACTGTACATAAACAATGACGCTCTGCCCCAGGGAGGCTTTGAGGTAATGATGGAGAACTGCCTAAGGGCGTTCTTCTGGCTGAGAACCTGGGGCAGGCTGCTTTCTTCCCAGCCCAAATGACTCCACTGGGCTAGGTCTCCCCTGCCTGGGTGGCAACTCCAGTACCGCTTTATTTGATTCTATTTTATGGTGTATTTGTCTCTTTTAAGACTGCCAGCCCAGAAGGAAATTCTCCTAATAAAACAACAGCTCAATCCAAATTGTGCTTCACCCCTCCCCCCCAGAACTGACACCACTCCCAGGGTGAAGAGTTGAGGCATGGTACAGAGAAAGGAGGCTCTGCATGGGGAACTCTCTTTTCTGTACTTCCCAATTCTCCAGGGGAGCAAACATCCCAAGGCGAGGGCAATTGGAACAAAGAAAAGGAGAGAGGTGTGTATTGGATGAGGCAGGGCCTTAGGCAGTCACAGGAGGACCCTGCAGAGGGGCTGGCTTGAGCTGCCCCAGATCTGGGATGCTGGGACCCTGGAGGGCTCAGCTCCAGGGCCACTGCCTGGCAGACTTCGGGCACTGGGTATTGGAAACGGGTGCAAAGTACAATGTGTTTTTCTCCAGTGCTGTCCATGCTTCTCATCTTGTGAAATGATCAGGAACCTCCCTTTGGAACCCTGCTCCGTAGGCGCCACCTTTTCCTTTGTGATTTTCTGTAACCCCATTCCTACCCTTCAGCACTGTTTAAGTACCGTGTATCATTTTTCATTCACTTCTCTTGAACTTGTGAATGCTTCTCACTTCTTTGTTGTTTGATGCAAGAACTTACTGTAAAGTTTAGGAACTCTGTGTAGCTACCATGAAGTGATTATGCACTAAATATGAACCTCTTGTCTCTTGTTTGTTGAGTTTGTAGGTAAAAATGTATTTTTATACATTATGGCTTATTGCTTAGTAAAATTTATTTCATAAAATCAATCTTTGTCATATTAGAATGTGTAGTGGTCACATGTTGCTCAATTTTACTAACTGATAAATCGTTTGAACCTCTGCTTATGTATGAGTACTATCTTATAACTGTGGTCAACAGTGAGGTAAGCAAGCTCCAACAAACCCCCCAGACCCACTTTTGTATCCCTTTTTGGCTAAAGCATGTCTGCTTCCTGTCAATTCCTTGAACATACAGAGTCATCTTTACAAACAAAGGAACCTTCACCCAGCAACCAGATCAAGCAGCAACAGATAAACCAGCCAGCCAATTTCCCAAATTTCAGGCACAAGAAAAGATTCAACATTAGCTTGTAAAGTTTTGCAAGATCTTTCCTTTTCCTTTATGGATCTGATTAGTATGAAGTCATAAATCAGAGAAAACAAAATTGTATTTGCATTCCCAGGCGGGGTGGATGCTGCCAGGAGATCACATTGCAAACAGCAAGAACAGAGGCATTCGATCCATGCCTGCGTCCTCCACACAGGATCAATCTTTGGTTCGTTCTGCAGTCTCCTCAGGCAATGTGACACGGGATGCAGTGTGCGGCTTTAGTGCCTTTCTTCGCCTTTTAAATCGCCACGAATCACAGATGGCTATTTAGTGGCCCTACAATGCTGCAACACATCAGCTTGCATTTTAGTCTTAATTATTTGTTTCTTGGAGAATGGGCGGAGTATTCTGTTTTTGTGTCAGCTGTTAGTGATGAAATAGGGCTCTAGTTAATCTTTTCTTTATGAAGTTTAATTCAGTGTTCCCGTGGCTAGTTGCAAGCATTTCACAGTGGTCACCCAGTTTAATCTTTTGTATATTTTTTAGAAATGCCAAGAGCCTTACTACACTGGAGCAAATTTATTATATAGTGATAATTTAGATAGATGTTAGTCTTGAAGCTCTTATTTTGTGTGCAACTGATTATAAAAACATCTTAACCAAGTATTATTACACACATGATCTCTATAACTAGGACTTTGATAACTGTTATATAAAGTGTGTAAAATTTGTATGAATAAATTTTTGTAAACAATGCAACTTGGTCTAATGTTTGGAGAAAAAAAGACATTCAGCAAATACTTTAAGACTTCTTAAAGTATTATATTTCTACAGCAACCATAAGATATTTTTCATGTCTGCAATATCTAAACATCCATGTATTTTCATAAGCTGTGCTTTAATATCTGCCTGATGGGTTACTGGATTTAAATTAATATTTAAAGTAGCTATGCATACATAGATGTCTGAGAGGATATTAAACTCATAAATAGGCACAGATGATGGAACATTCACAACACACAGTTTAGAGTAATTCCCATCCTCTAATGTGTATATGCATTGCTCAGTAGTCAAGAAGTGGTTAGGCAGTGGTGGGAGACAATGCTGGAGTAGAAGTATTCATTATACTCTTAAAATAGCTAATATAAGATAGTTAATACTTTTTCAGGTAACTGTGGAGTAAATTGATCTTGATAACATTGTGCATAAACATTTAGAAGGCCAGCTTTGTAAGATTTAAGATGTGTTTAGAGATGTGCAGACAACTGTATCTGTTTGAAACACTTTGGGCAGAAGGAACAAGAGCATGAATAAGTCAAGAGTTAACTAGATCCTTTAAGAGAACATGTATTTTGAGGTGTGGGACAAAATGTGAACAGTCACTTGTGGATTATATTGTGTCTTGTGTCAAGCTTTAAAGCAAAACCTTTGATGAACTTCCCAAAAACTCCTTTGTGGGGTGTTTTTGGAGCCCTTAACTATTTCTGGGTTAGAAGAAGCGTACTACAAAGTCACTTACAAGCTGCCTGTCATTCAGTTTAAAATGTCAGATTTTCATCCTCAAATTGACATGTTCATTTAATCGGTAAATGTCATGATAGTGTTAAAGAATCAGCAAGGAGTTAAAGATTATTTTCAGAATTTAACTTAGTATTTAAGGCCCAGAAACATACAGGGATGATCCCATGATCTAGAAAACTCATTTGTAATAAGTTAAAAATATATAGGACAGTACACCTTATGTTGGATTTTATTGGATATGGGGTTTTTCTTCTCTGTTTTAACAGTTGCTCCCTCCTGTGCCACCGAGTCACTAGTGCAGTAAGTGGAAAAATGAAGAAGACGTTTGTTTGGTTAAGGGCTAATGACTTATCCGGAAAGTAAAGATATACCCCAGACTAGGCTGGTTCAAGTGAAATTCATACACATAGCAAATTGCTACATTCTATTGATTGGAGTAACTCAAATTATGGCTTTTCTTAGGAAGATTTACTCATTTGTCTGTTCAGGAAGCCATGATGTACATGATGTATTCTTTATTGCTTTTAGAGCTGGAAGCACACTGATTCAATACAGTACAGATTATTGAACACCTTTAAGGGGTCAGGGATACTACTGTTTAGGAGAGCTTCATCAACAACTGTAAATTACCATGTGTTTTTCCAAAGAGTTTTATACTGTAACAAGATCATCTGGGAGGACTTGTTAACAATGCAAAATGTAGGGTACCACCAGAACTGGTGGACCTGCATTTTTAAGAAAACCTTATATTAACATGCACTATAGTTTAAGACTTCCTAGATTTAGAATTTGGTGCCATATGTAAGCACACACATGTGCTGGAGCTGTAAGTTTTGTTAATATCAAATAAGCAACAGGTCATGCTGCCTACACAGTGTAATAAAATATTGACCTCCTACATTATCCAGGGATATGTATTAAGTTTTTGGAAAACACCTGTATTTCACAAAGGTTCCTAGCCAGTGTTATTTCACTTGGCCACCGTGGTTGGATCTCTTAATCACAAAGGCTTGTGGAAGGAGAGTAAACCCTTACGTCAGAGTTGGGAAATTGTTTGGCACATAGGCTGTGACAGACCCACAAAGTCGTTTAATCTGGCTCTGGCAAGGTGACTACAGGTGGGACTTGAAATTTGATGACTCTAGTAGGCTAATTTGTCAGCTGATAATTCTGTAAGGCCTGTGAGTGATATGCTAAATGTATAAGTGGCCCTTGGCTTTAAGAGTCCAGAAAGTTCCACCACATAACTAGCAGAATAATACCATAATGGAGAGAAACTGTACAGCTAGCTGGTGGTAATTCTGAGATCCAGAAATCAACTTCCAAATGTATAATATATTAATTTGATTTTAATGTATCTTCCTCCAACTGCTTACAAGACTAATTTCTCTTGGATGCCCACAATAACCTCAAACTCAGCCCTGCTTTTCCTACAATTATACAGCAAGAATCAGTATGAACAATATTGGTGTAAGGTTAGAAACTTTACTTTCCTCTTACCCTTCTTTTGAGAAGGGGGAGGCCTACTTCCCTTGCTGCCATCTAGTGCCTCCCCAATGGATCTTCTTAGTTATTTTCATTTTATTTGAAAGGATTGAGGGGAAGGGAAGGAAGAAAACCAGAGCTAGAAAGAAATCTTCCATCCGTTTGTTCACCCCTTAAATTCCCAACAACAATTGGGTCTGGGACAGGTTGACATTATCAGTCAAGAACTTAAGCCATGGGACTCAAAGCTATGATCTGTTGTTTGCAGTCCTAGGATGTGCATTTGCAGAAAATGAATCAG